GTGGGGGGGGGGGGCCTCAGGGCTGAGGGCTTCTGCTGAGCATGGCAGGAAGCCTGGAGCCAAGCTGGGAGCATCCCTCCTCCTGCAGCCAAGTGTCCCAAATGACCAGCCGGCTTCTTGTTGGAGCACAGCAGGGGCACCCTGCCTTCCTCTCCCCTCTGGAAATCCTTCCTTTGGCTTGTTTTAAACCTGCCACCTACTCAATTCATTTGGCAACACCTAGTGCTTGTGTTATGAGGTGGAGGAGGACGGACATCTGCCTTGTGTACCTCCTCCACGCCAGGCATGGGTTTATAGAAATCTGTCATGTTCCCTTTATCGTCTCTGCTCCGAGCTGAGCAGTCCCAGTCTCTTTGATCTCTCCTGATAGAGAGGCTGTTTCATACCCTGATCGTTTCTGTCGCCCTTCTCCGTCCCTTTCCAGTTCCACGTTTATGCAGGTTTCAAGGTGGGAGTGTCCCACGGCTTCCAAGAGAGGCCATGTGATCCGACCTTTTCTGAAGTGTTCGCTGTCCTTTTCTTAATGCCGCCAACGCGCTAGACAGTTTTGTTTTTGCCGCTGCTTCACCCTGAGTCGGTGTGTTTCCATGAACAGTTCACGGTGACGTCACCATGGGGTGGTGTATTTTTTTGGCATGGTAACTGTTGTGATAGCTGCCTTCAACTGCCTGTATGGGGATTCCAAAGAAGATGGAGAGAGGCTGTTCTCAGTGGGGGCAGATGGCAGAACAAGGAGCAATGGTCTCAAGTTACAGTGGGAGAGGTCCAGGTTGGATATTAGGAAAAATGATTTCCCTAGGAGGGTGATGAAGCACTGGGATGGGTTCCCTAGGGAGGAATCTCCATCCCTAGAGGCTTTTAAGTCTCTGCTAAATGATGCCCTTGCTGGGTTGATTTAGTTGGGATTGGTCCTGCCTAGGGCAGGGGGCTGGACTTGATGACTCCTGAGGTCTCTTCCAGCTCTATGGTTCTGTGACTTTCACAATAGCTGTCCGCAAGTATGACACAAAACTTGCTCCTCATTCCACGAGGTGTAACAGTTAACTCGAATTAAGGACTTAGTTCGAGTTAACATTAGACTGTCGCGTGTAGCCGCGGGCAGTTAGTTCGCACTAAGGGGATTTAAAAATTTAAAAATGCTCAGCCACCTTCCCCCCCCCCCAGTTCCGCCCTGCCCCCAAGAGGACAGCTCCCAGGTGGGTTGTTTGTCATGAGGGGATCAGTTCTGAGATGCTGGGTCTAATTCCTCCAGGTGGTGGATTAGCAAGTGAGATTCAACCTTCCAGCTTCCCTTCTGGGGTGAAATCTGCCAGGGTCCCCCAAATCTGCCCCTGCCCCGAAGCCCTATCAGCAGGCAAAGATCCTGCGGACCAGTGGCTCTCAATGTTCCCAAACTCAGTTTCCCCTCTCAGGACTCTGACTTTTCCTGCACAGCCTCAAGGTTCTCTGCACTTCCGAACGACTTGTGCGCCAAATTAGAGCTAGAAATACAAGTGTCTCTGTGCACTGGTGCCGACAGATGGTTTGCATTGAATATATTGCATAGAGCAGATTGAGTACCTAGGAGGGGAATTCTGCATGAAAAATTATAAATTCAACAAGAAAAATAAATCAAAACTGCTGCACGCAATAGTTTAAAATTCTACAAAATTCTGCATCTTTTATTTGTCAAAATAACACAACATAATCCCCCCAATTTCAATCATTCTTTTCACAATACCGATCAGGAAGCAGGTGACAAAACAGAAGCCAAATGAGATTCAGGAAATGCTCTTTGACCCATGGATTCCTCACTAGGTACATGAATTCAGAACAGCGAGTAACAATTCGTGTACACTACAGTGCAGAACTGCATTTCCCGCACTCCCGGGTGCAAGGCAAAGACGGGGCGCTGGGCAGGGGAGAGGGTGAGGCAGGCATAAGAGGAAAACAGGGGGCTGGGTCCCCTGGCTGTTTATCCCAGCGGGTCCTAGCACCTGGCCAATCAGGGCCAGATTCAGCAGAAAAAAAACCCTCCCTGCAACCAGAGAGATTCCCCTGTGGACGGATCCCAGGTTGGCCTCAGACCGGCTGCCCTGGGGGCTCAGGCTGAACTAAAACCTGCCCAAGGCCTGGGACCTGCAGGAAACAGGTGAGACACAGGAAATTGGAGGCCGGGCTGTGGTTTGTGTGGTCTGTAGCCCAGTGCAAGTCTTTCCATTGCACTGCCTAGGCCACGGGTGGCTCAGATCTCATGTGGCCGACTCCCTGCCTGGCTCCAGTCTCTTGCCCCAGCCAGGAGGAGATCGGAGGGGGCAAAGTCCCAGCTGGGGTTTCTCCTTCTGGGACCTTTCCTGGTGGAGTTGCTGGACGTGTTGGTCTCAGCCCCAGCTCTCCGCTGGCTGCCCTGCCCCCCTGGCCCTATGTGTGGGCTGCCGAACACAGACACCCTCCTAGGGCCGGGGGTGTTTGTGGGAAACTTGTGATTCACATGAAAACTGCATGTAGCAGTGGCCGCTGGAGGCCTTCCAGGCTTTGCAGATGTGATCGGACCCAACTACATCCTGTGGTCTCCACCCATTGCTCACCCTCCCAGTTACACCCCCACACATGGGTTCCTGCTGCCGGCTGAGCCAGTCCGGGCGAGCTGCGGGAGTCGTGTGGGGGACCTGAAACAGGGCTCAACTCGGAGACGCTGAATCCTCACAAGACACGGGTAAGGAAATGAGGGAAGCCCTCCTGCTGCCCCACAGAGTGTCATTCTGGACTCTCTGCCTCAGCCGTCCTCTGGATCTCCCCCTTCCTCCAGCCCCATCCACCCCACCCATCCTGCTGGGTAGCGCCGGTTGACATTAGTTGGGTGTCCTGTGGTGAGAGGTCATGAGCCCTCATCCTGCTGGTGTTGAGCGACACTGTCCGAGCTCCCGTGTCCCATCTCAAGGGGTGCTGCACAGAGAAATGTTTGGTGGGGAAACTGAGGCCCAAGGCTGAGACGTGACTCAACAAAGCTCCCTGAGTGGTTCAGTGGCTGAGTCTGGGATGGACCCAGGAGTCCTGATTCCCAATCTAGCTGCTCAAATTGACTCTTGCAACAGCCTTTCACTAGACAAAACGTGTTAGGGGCCTCCCTTTTCTCTACTGCACTTCCTGGAGGGCGGCGGGAAAGAGAGGGAGAGTTTCTTGTCACTGTGGTTGAAAGCTGGGAAATCCCTTTCAAAAAAATGTTTTTAAATGGCAGGAGAGGGAGGATTGGTCACTGGTTAAATTCTCCAAAAATAAAAGGGAGTTGCCAGCCCCTTTGGCAAAGCAACAGCAAAAAGCGTATTTGCGACTTTTACACCATGTCTACATGACGGAGCTCGAACCTGTTCCTGTTAATCTACCGGGGGGGGGGAGGTCAATTCAGCCGCTCTAATGAAGCCCTGAGAGGGGCGCTCCTGTTGAGGCCAGTAACCCTGGTCCTACGTGGAGTAAGTTAAGCAGAAGGGAGCCAAAAGCAGAGTAAACAAGAATGGAGATACGAGCTGCTGAACGTGGCTGAATTCGACCTTCTCCCATAGTGTGAGCCAGGGGAGAGCAAGACTCGGGCGGGGGGGGGGGGGCCTCACGA